GGCGGCGTGATAAAAACGGACAAAAACTTTCGCAAGGAAAGAAATATGTAAATAGAATTTTATCGCACCTATTTTATATCGGCAAATTCAAATGCTTTTGCCTTTATTAATTATTAATAAAATTAATTTGTGTTTTTAAATAATAAAATCATTTGACATACCCGATGCTGCAACAGCAATTGTTCAAAATTTTATCCACTCACGTGTAAACACATTTGGGTCCGTCTTACTCACTTTCTACGAACTAACACAAATGATGTCTTGCTTCACCATAACACAAATGCTTCACCATAATACAAATGTTGTCTTGCTTCACCATAAATTAAAACGATATCCATCAACTCTGAGTTGCTATACACGCAAGCCATTTTTGACACTAACTACTAAAAAACTGATACCACAGATAACAGGTAAAAACTACCGCAACGACGGATTTCAGTATTAGGAGTCACATGGCTCTCCACGCGTATTGCGAATGACGCTAGAGACTACAGTTGTCCAGATATGTAGTGGTTTAATGTGCTATAACTTCAATAATTTTTTTCTCAGAAACTATAAGGATTTTACAATTTTTTTTTTACAATATTGACTCCATTTCTCATGCCTCATCTATTCCCAAATTTTTTTGGATAAGTTGTGAATCACCCTGTATACAGGGTGTATTTAAATGGAGGGGCACAAATGATACCAGATATTACTTTGGGTGAAACTAAGTCGATTTAATCTAATATACCTATATCCCAAGTCGCATAATAAAAAAGATACAGGGTGTCAAAGTGAAAAATAAAAAATGGTTTTTACTTAATAATTTCTATAATTTTAGTCAGAAATGTTTCAGATTTTCAATAGAGAAGTTTTTTAATGATGGGAAAGATAATATAATAATGATTTTTGAATGTCGAGTACGGAGCGCCTTCTGCAGGCAACGTCATCCATTGCATATGTAGTAACTTTTTTGCCAACCCCCGTAAACAGCTTTTAGTAACAAAATAAATATTGGACTTTTTTGAACAAAAAAGGTATACTTATTGAAAATGGCTAAAGCCATAATCATTGAAGAGATATTTTTAATTTAATAAAATAGTGTTATGGATTTATACCTCCATGAATAGCAAGGTTCAAACAGACACTTTTGTTAATAAATTCAGAATACATTGCCTCACAGTACTTATTAGTTGTGTATCTATATTTTAAAATTCGACCAAAAAGGGAAGCAGGAATCAACCGAGATATTATTTTTCCTATTTTAAATTTACTCGTTTTGCGTATTATTTTAGCATGTGTGAATACACTTGTTGCATAATTTCTATTTGTTTTTCTAGAGATGGGAAAATTCCCAAACTATGAAAATTCCTGGAAAGTTTCCATTGAAAATTCCGGAAATTTTCCGAAAATTTCAAAAATTTTTTTTGGATTTGGTATTGTGTTCTACATACCATCAGCTTTCCAAAAAGACCAAATACTTATATACATTTTTATTTATATTGGTATAATATTTGTATTGGTATTGGAAAAATATAAATTATGTATTAATCATCCGTTAGAAAAAATTACATGCTGAGGGTTACAGTGCGTAAACACTATACAGTATACAATATTTATCCTTATTTTTTAACAAGCAAATAGTAAATACATTAAATAATTATACGTTTTAAAATGTAATTGTACTTTGGTTCAACTATCAAAATTCATATCAAATTTGAAAAGGAGGCAATTTATGAGTCTTGTATTGCTCTCTATTATGTAGATTGTAGACTTAACAAAGATTAAAATAAGTAAGTGTAAGTGTTTTCTAACTTATTTGGATATGGTCTTCTGGTATTCCGAATTAACCGAAAATTCGAAATTAACCAACGATTTTTTGTGTATGTTCATAGAAGTTAGAAGTAAAATTGGCTCCAAGTTTACAAATTGTTAGAAATATTCCCGGAAAATTTCCGACGGAAATTTTTTCAGAAACTTTCCAGGGAAAATTTCTCAAGCTTCGATTATTTCTTCCCGGAAAATTTCCGTTCTGGAATCTTCCCGGGACGGAAAATTTCCCATTGCCCATTTCTAGTTTTTTCGGTGACTATTAAAAAAACACATTTTCTTGTGCATGTGAAATTATTTAAATTATTAAAGAAATCTTATATGAAATAACAGTTCAGGTGAAAAAATATTGCAATATACTTATTTATTGTTTCTCTTGTCTAATTATAAATTATTAGAAAAAAGAACAAATCAACTAAAACCAAGTCACTTAACAACAGTCAACAGATAATTTAAGAGAAACTGGCTGACAATAAAAAAGCAAGATTTTTTAAAGAATATTTTTGAACCAATTTCCATTTTCTTGTAAGCATAATCTAATTCTACTATTAAAATTACGATGAACTCTTGGAAAAATATGTCATTCTTTACTTCCTCAGCTGCTGCAAAAATTCTTTGACGAAGCATCTCCACACTATCAATAGTGTTGGAATAAACAATATTTTTTAAGTGACCCCATAAAAAATAGTACATGGGTGTGAGGTCCGGGGATCGCACAGGCCATTTGACTGGTGCATCGTTCCCTCGACCTATCCATCTCCCAGGAAAATTTAAATTTAACCATTGTCAAATAGCTAATGTACTATGAGCAGGAGCTCTGTCATGTGTGTACCACATGTTTTCAGGGATAGCTAGTAGCACGTCTTCAAGTAATATTGGGAGTTGCTCATTTAAAAATCTCAAATATTTGGCTCCACCGAGACGCCGAGGAAGAATAAACGGAACAATAAGATAATCTCCTACGATTCCTGCCCATACATTTAAACTAAAATTATGTTGAAGTTTGGATGTACAAACTTGGTGAGGATTTTCGTCAGACCATGAGTGATTATTGTGATGGTTCACCAAACCATGTCTTTGAAATGACGCTTCATCACCAAACAAAATACTGGATAAAATATTTCTGTTTTCCCTTGACATGTTCGTATACCATTGACAAAAATCTATCCTGTTAGGTAAATCCGCAGCAGTCAATTCCTGCACAGATTATCATTCGCAATTTTCCAAATCGTAGGATGTGAAACATTATACTGTGTCGCCAATTTTCTGGTACTAGTTTCAGAATTGTGATCTTGTAAATTGCCAAGGACAACTTCTTCAATTTCTACATCGCGAATAAGACGTCTTCTGCCAGTACCTTCAGGGCGAGGTTGAATGTGTCCGTTTCCTCGAAGCCTTCTTTCTACCGCCGCAAAAGTTTTTCTAGCAGGAACACGACGATTGGGATATCTGGCATGATAAAGTTGTACAGCAGCAGCACAGTTCTTGTAACATTAAAAAAATACTTGCAACACATCGACATACTCGTCATTAGTATGCATAATTTCTTATTTTATTGAATTTCAAAACTATTTAATATCTAGGACGCAGGTAAATAGTGACTAAAATCAATTTAAACACTTTAAACTAATACTTCAAAATTGCAAATTACGAGTATTATCAAATAACATTTACCTACTCGATTTTTTTATTTATTTAAGCAACTGGAACCTTGGTATTCGTGGAGGTATAAATCCATAACACTAATTTATGAAATTAAAAATATCTCCTCAACGGTTGGCTTTAGCCATTTTCAATAAATATACATTTTTTGTTCAAAAAAGGCCAATATTTCATATTTTGTTACTAAAAGCTGTATACGGTGGTTGGCAAAAAAGTTACTACAGATTCAATGCATGACATTGCCTGCAGAGGGCGCCTTGTACTCGACACTCAAAAATCATATCATATTATTTTTCCCATCATTAAAAAACTTTGTTGAAAATTTGAAATATTTCTGACTAAAATTATAGAAATTGTTAAGGAAAAACCATTGTTTATTTTTCACTTTGACACCCTGTATCTTTTTTGTTATGCGACTTGGGATATAGGTATGTTAGGTTAAATCGACTTATTTTCATCCAAGGAATATCTGGTATCATTTGTGCCCCTCCATTTAAAAATACACCCTGTATACCTACTAAGGTATGCGATTTTTGCCAAACTTATTGAACTTAAAATTTGTATTTCTTTTAGGGAAGAAATATGTAATGAAATTCCAAGTCTAATGCAACACTTAAACGCTTACGTTGACTTACATAATGGAATATCGGAACTGGAAAGTCACTTACAAGATTTACATCAGCAGCTAGCTTTGATAAAGGAAGCTGAGGCCCAAGGAGCCAATAAACATTCTTTGTACTCCTTACCATCTCGTTATGAAGGTTATCATAAGTCTCAAACCACAATGAATATTGCTAAAAGTGAATTACTCAGTATAATAAAAGATGCAGAAAAACATATTGAAATATATTCCAATTTATTAGATTTATATGATCGGCAGCAGTTTTCACAATGGTTAATGGAATTAAAGATTAATTACAATGAAAGTAATATGTACATTTTTGATCTAGTAAGAGAGTTCATGGAGAATGCTGGAAAGGCTGATGTATTTGTCCAGTGTCAACAATCAGAAGATGACGTGTACGATCTTTCGCGTCGCCTAAATATCAGCTTAAGAAAATGTTTGCAGTTGTATCAAGATTATTTTACTATTATCACACAGTGTCCAAAATCATATTTAGAAAATCACAAAATATCTTTATACTTAAGGTGGTCGAAATATCTCCTTGAAATGAAAACATCCGAAAGTTGTGAATTTATATATAAGCAATTAAAAGATTATCACGAAATGTTGAAAGTTGTCAACTCACCTCAGGCAGTAGCTGTAGCTTTTAGTTTAGATGCATTGTACAAGGAAAATTTAATGCAAGTCAACAAGTTATATGATGAATTAGGAAATATTAGACCCCCAGAACCAGAGAATTCCGTGGAGCAATTATATAACAATGCTAAAGTTGGAATATCTACATTTCTGGGATGCGAAAAAGGGGCAACTGGTGCTCTGGAATTTGTGATCACAAGTGAATTAATTCTTCTGAATCGAAATTTTTTAAAACTAGAAATTGCAGCTCAACGTAGTGGAGATTGGCTTATTAAATTGACGTCACGGGATGGAGATTGGTTCTTGTATGATCTTTTACTTCATAGTACAAGGGCCGTGGAAATGATAAATAATTTACCGTTACGACAAGATTATGAGGATCAGAAATTTTACAAGATATTAGCCGGAATTAAGATTGCTAATAACGTTTATAAAGCACTATATGATTTAAACTTTAATTTTCACACTATAATTCTCCCCGAATCTATGAAAAAAATTCAAGCAGAAGAAATTTCAGTTTTGCAGTTGATTTACGATTTAAATAAGATAATTATGGATAATACAATTTCAATTCCAGAAATGATTACCCAACTGGAAAAAGTTTTAACATGCATCCATATACAAATCGATATCAGTGTAAGTATATTATATATTTTTTTTATTAAAAAAGTGTAGATTTGCTTCTTGCTGTGTTTTCTTTTAAGGCAATATAAATAAAGTAGAGCCTTGATTAATCATAAGCGGGTTATCTATGCGGTGACTAAGAATTTGTTGTGAAGTTAGTTCATAATTTTTTCGCAGTTAGTATTATAACGTACTTTACTCAGTCGCCAAATTTTTGTAACACCCTTTATATACTTTACTTTATTTTGGTTTTGATTTTGCGGTGGTGACGGTTCGGTTCAGACGTTACTTGTGGCCGCCCCCGGTATAATACCAACTCTAAACGGAATCTTAATTCTCAATTGCGAATTCTAATTTACTGGATTTATTGACGTCACTGACGTCCCTATTTGGACGCCTAATTTTATGACGACCCTTGACTACTCGTTTATCGGCAGCGGTGGTTGGCAGCCAGCAGTGGTGAGTGACGTCACAGGAACGTACTCCGGATTGAATCTTTTTGTTCGGTTTTTTGTCTCAGGCGCCAGTTTCCCAATCTGTTACGTGGGGGAAACTCCACGTGAAACCTACCCTCGGTTTAGAGTAAGTACTCGGGATAGCTGCAGTGAAGAAAGTTTAATTCCAGGGGTCTGTTATATTTCTCTTAATTTTAAGCAAAGTAGTTCTCTGAGTGTAGTGTTATTTTCCTTTCAAAATAAACGGTCTTATCAGTGTAGGTCACAAAAAGATAAGCGGACCCCTTTTTTACTGATCGGAATTTTATCAAATTTGTCGGCGTTAAGAATTAATACAAACGGGAATTATATTTACTAGATTTATTAGTCAGGCCTATTAAATTTGAAACAAACAAACAAAAGTAAAACAGATTCTAATTACAATTATTATTACTAACTAAAACCAGGAATATACAATAAATTTACAAGCGGTGTAAGAATGAAATAAAATGAAATAAAATGGGTTAGAGCAATTATTATTTGTACGATGGATTTAAAATGCCTATGCGGTTTTTTTCGGTGCTGAAAATAAATACAAATTAGCACATAGTCAAATATCAGGACTCAAAATCGGTACTTTAGAAAACGGAGTCTTTGGCGTTTGGTTTATTTAATAAACGGTCTAAGACTCTACGAAACGGTACGCCAGAATAATATTCGGTTTTAAATTTCGGTCGGTGCTAGAAAGGGAAGAATAAGCTTAATAAATTAGAGCAATAAATAATCAATAAATAAATTGTTCCCAATGGTTCTGAAACAGAAAAATAATTACGGGTGACTCTAATTCTACAAATAAATATCGGCGGCAGTTTCTAGCAAAGCGACGGAAATTAAGCGGAAATGCGACCAGCCAGGAGAAAAAGCCAAGCAAAGCGGTTTAGAACGGACGTAAATAAGCAAACGGTAGTCAGGAAAATGATTTATGTTGGTGAACAGGAGGCAAAGTCTGGTCGAGGTGCGAGTTCAAATGCGGGGCGGCCGACAGATTTCTTCCCGAAGCGGTGGAGCACCCAGCCAAACTTCGAGGGTCTATCCGTCGCTGCACAGCCGACACACAACGTCTTCTACTGGCGGTGGAGCACCCAGCCGAACCAGCAGTTTCGGTTATTGTGCCTTACAACGTTTATCAAGCTTAGGCGGTGGAGCACCCAGCCAAACCTTCGCTGACAACGCTGCTGCTGTACAGTCTGACACCTTCACGTCCTCTACTGGCGGTGGAGCACCCAGCCGAACCAGCAGTTTCAGTAAAGGGGCGCACAGCGTTTGTCGAACGACGGCGGTGGAGCACCCAGCCAAACCGTCGCCGATAACGCTGCTGCCGTACGAGCCTGCACTCAACGTCTTCCGCTGGCGGTGGAGCACCCAGCCAAACCAGCAGTTCGGTCGATGTGACGGACAACGTTCGTTGAACGAGGGCGGTGGAGCACCCAGCCAAACCTTCGCCGACAACGCTGTGGTCGTACTGTCTTGCCAGAGTTCAAAAACGGCCAGACTTATACCATATCAGGACAAGTAAATATAGGAAAATACAATTTGCTTACTTATTCCGGACAGTTGCTTCTGGCGGTTAACTCCTTGGGTCGGATGGCGGTCTCAGGTCGGTCTTCAGGTTCTCGGGGTGGTCCTTGGGTTGGAACTGGAGATCTTCGAGTTCTGGCAGCGAACTCAGGATTTTCGTTCAGGAACGGTAGTTTCATTGCCTCAATCCCCCCTTGACTAGGCAAGAGTCGTGGTGGGATTATGCGCGGCCCTCGACAAAGTGGGGCAAATGGACGGTTCGACTCGACTCGCGGTTAATTGCTCTCACCCAATTAAACTAATTAAATCAATAACTGGCCCACGGCCTTGCATAAAACTGGAAATTAATACCGGTTGATTACATCGTGCTAGGTTAGTTTATATCTATTTTTCGACCATTTAAGATATTTTGTCAGTTGCATTATCGATTAGTATACCATTATTGCAAGGCAACAAATAAAAATGTAAAATGTAAAAGAAATGTAACCATTGAATTATTTGAGTTGTATTAAACCGATTATTAGAATCAGCGCTCTTTTGTTTGAACTTTTTCAACACAAACATTCAGAAAATAATTGAATCACTGATCATTTTCACTTCAAACATTAGGAGGGTGAAGCAGATCTGTTATTTTATCTAACTTTAGAATTTAGACAAACATTTAAAAAGTGCGAAAAAAATAAAGTTATCATAAATTTTAATGATGGGTTGCCAGAAACATTAGTACAGTTTGGTTGGAGAGATCTGAAATTATTATAATAAAGTTAATGTTATAAAGTACAAAACGATTCAGTAAGTTCATCTTGCATTTGACATGAATCTTGGTTTAGTAAAGTTCCAAATTCCCCATCTTTTTCGGTTGAACAGGGCATTCTTTGTCAACTGACAATCGAAATCACCACTTCCAAAATGTCGAAACCAGTACTCACATGCTTTTAATGATGGAATACGTTCACTGTAAGTTTCCAACTCGATGACTTAGTAGCACTTTTCTTTGAATTAAATAGGAAAAGTAAAACTTCCCCTTCAGAGTTGGGAAAAAATATGTTGTTTACACTTCAGCAAATGGCCATAATAAAAAGTAAAACCTAATGACATAACTTTGACATGAATATAGTTACAGAAGTGTCCGATGCGATATAGGAGTAATTATGCCATCTATTGTAAATCCGTCAAAATTAATTCAGTCTTAATGAATGAAGCATTTTAATGATATGCAACACGTATAAATTTTATGAAGTAAGCAAACAAATTTTTCAAAAAACATGTAATTTCTCAAAATCCCGCTAACAAAATAACAAAGTCATAAAATTATACTAAAAATCATTTTATTTCTATGCAAGTAGGGTACCCTTGAAATATTGCCTATTCGCTAGCAGGCATCCTGTATATTTATTTATTGATGGTACCAAAGAAGTTTTGTTTTCATTTTAACCAGAGAATTTTCTCTCCTCGGAAGCCATAGACTTGCTTTTTAAAACTGGAGACTTTGGCTGAGAAACAATTCTAGTAACCCTAATGATAACATACAAAAAACATTACATTATATAAAATTGCCATATAAAATGTTTAATATTAAGAAAAATGTTATGTATTGACTTTATTTTGTTCTGAAACATTTGCCAGTAGTTAGATATGTATTTCCTTAAAATCTAACAGCATTTTGACGCATTATTACGAAAACATGTTGAGCATGTTTAAGCTTGGAAAATATGCTAGCTCAGATCTTTAAGAAAAAACATGCCATCTCGCACAAAATTAAATTTGACTAGAAATTTAAGTAGGCTGAATTGGCGTTGAAATGAAATATTGGCTGCATTGGCGTTGAAACCATGCACTTATAATAAACTTAAAAAAGTAAGGAATATTTATGTTCAGGTACATCGTTTATTTTACTTATTTCATTCAACCTTTTTCGATAAATTTTGTTAACTTACTGTTATAAACGACAAAATTGTTAATTAAAAAAATAGAATAATATGTAGTATGCTGCAACACGTACATTACTCGACGGTTTTTGAAATAACAAAATAATAAAAAAATAGTGTATACCTTAATAATTAAAAATGTTTATTATTACTAAAAATTATTCGATTTTTTACATACAAGTTTGCTTTGATATAAAAATTAATAGCTCACTCTTACCTGATTTATACTCACTACTCTTCCTTTTATTCTAAAAATAATTTTATATGCCTTAATGCGAACTCCAAGGAGACTACAATAAAAAGGATTATAGTGGACCAGGCTAGTCTCCAAATTCCGGGTCCGAATCTGGACCGCGGAAACGTGCACGTGCATGTCATCTGCTCTCCGCCCGTCGCATCGATATCCAGCAGGTCATAAAGTACCGGTAATAAAATTGTCGCATACCTGCATTTCATTTCCAAAGTCTATGCAAGCACGCGGCTACAGTACCTTTAATAAGCCATTTGTTTTTATTGAGGTACAGTAAGAACGATTCGGACCCGGGGCCTAGCCTGGTCCACTATAATAATCCTTTTTATTGTAGTTTCCTTAGAGTTCGCATTAGGCATATAAAATTACTTTCAGAATAAATTGTGCAAAAAAATAAAAATAAGTACCAAGAGTAGCTCAGCTCAGATAAGAGTGCGCTTTTAATTTTTATATCAAAGCAAACTTGTACGAAAAAATCGAATAATTTTTAGTAATAATAAACATTTTTATATACAGTGCTATTTTTTAAAACCTAACATAGACCAACTTTTTTATTTGAAGTGAGTAAACTACTCTAGTTTACTTCCAAATGCAAAGTTGCAGGAAATATCATGATTAAGAAAAATTTACAAATAATGCTTTCCGGTGTTGCCTAGTCAAGTTATTTCCTACAACTTTGCATTTGGAAGTACGAAACTATCACTTCAAATAAAAAAGTTGGCCTACGTCAGGTTATAAAAAAAATTACATTGTACATTATGTTAAATTTAACATGTTTTTATCAAATTAAGTATCAAACAGAAACATTAACTGAGGGTTATTTGAGATATAAAATATAAGCAACCCTGAATATGACTGCAAATTATTTTTGTTGTTTTTTCTGATTGTTCTAAAATGGCTACTCCAATAAAGAAATGTGACATAATATTTTTTATTTAGAATTTAAGGATTTGTCAAATTATGAAAAAAAAATATGGTGTTGACATTTAAAAAAATATCGTTTTATTAACTACTGCAACACCGGAAAGAATTATTTGTAAATTTTTCTTAATCATGTTATTTCCTGCAACTTTGCAATTGGAAGTACATACTAGTCTATGAAATAAAAAAGTTGGTCTATGTCAGGTTTTAAGGAAGTTTATCGGATGTGGAGGTACGTCTAAAGTCTAACGAAAGTTTCTGTAGATTCGCTAGTGACTAAAGTAGTAAGCCTTTAGATTTGGCAACGTTGCACTTGGCTGGCGCGCTCGGCTCGGCGTTCCCTCGCTCCCGTTCGATCATTCTGTTTGTTTGGACACCTGCGAATTTCAAATAATACGCTACGTCGGGACCGCGGCGTTGCCGCTATCACGCATGTGGAGGATAAGTTAGTCAACGGCAGCAGTTTGAAGGAGAATTATTATAAATTATGTATCTTACAAGTACCTAAACAATTTCTACAAGCTGTCATACAGTTCCTTAGATATCGATTTCCTATTTATACAAGTTGCTGTGGAAACTGTTCTTCAATTGTTGCACATTCTAAGTGGAAAGATAAAAAAAATCTGCATTCTCATAAGACTGTACTAAATCGTAAAAAATTATTTTATTAATATCTCGTCTCTTAGGTATCCAAACTAGTCATAATTTTTTTTGAGGATTTTCTTCATATTAATAAGCTTATATTAATTTTTTTATGAATATTTGTTCATCAATTCCAAATCAGATAAACCTCCTTAAGAAAATAGCACTGTATTAAGATATACACTATTTTTTTATAATTTGTTATTTCAAAAAACGTCAAATAATGTACATGTTGCGGCATACTGCATATTATTCTATTTTTTTAATTAACAATTTTGTCGTTTATAACAGTAACTTAACAAAATTAATTGAAAAATCTTGAATGAAACAAATAAAATAAACAATGTACCTGAACATAAAAAAATATTCCTTACTTTTTGAAAAATATAGTATATAAGTTTCAATCATTCAATGTTTCAACACCAATGCAGCCAACATAAATTTCTAGTCAAATTTAATTTTGTGTGAGATGGCATGTTTTCTCTTAAAGCTCTGAGCTAGCATCTTTTCCATCTTAATTTGAGGTAGTATGTTTTCCAAGTACAATTTTATGCTTTCGAAGCTAAGTTTGAGATAGCATGTTTTCGTACTAACGCGTCGATTTATGAATCTGATCTTAGATTGAAATTTCTGAAAATCTCGATTGAAACACAAATCTGCCGTGTTAAATCTAAATGTTATATTTGTGCACTCACATTTGTGTTTTAAAGTTTTCGTAGCACCCTTTTTTAGTCTCAAACTGCATATATTTTTCATTTTTAGAATACATATGATTATATTTTTGAACGTGTGGCTTCAATGAAGAAACAGTATCTCACTCTAATTCCAAACCAATCAGAAACTTTGAGTCAAGGAAAGATGCTTTTAATGGGTTTTAATGGTCTTTTTGAAAAACCCACTCAAGAAATATCTAATTTGGTGAATACCTTAGGGAACTTAGATATTCCAAAGTCATGGAAAAAATTAGACCACGTGAAAGAGTCTAAAAATATTGCTCCTCACATATTTAATACGCAGGTGCTTGGAATTTTAGAAGACATTTTTTTTTTAAAGAAACTGAAGGCTTTATCTGACTTTTTTGCCTTGTCACAGGAAATGTGTCAGACAGTTAAATGTGGAGGAACAGGCGTGGTATTTAATGATGAGCAGCTTACTAAACCTATTAAACAATATATTGCCGAATTTATTTCAAGGCAGTTACTAGGTATATCTCCGGAAACAATAGCATATGCCGTCTGCTTTTTACTGCAAAATTTAGGATTAGACGTTACTCACGAAATTGAGCAGAAGGATATTGGTGCAGAAAGTAAGGTACCTTTAGATGAACTATACTCTAAAGCATGGAATGTTTTACTTAAAAATGGTACATTCTCTCAAAATGTTCTATCGCAAGCTTCAAGTTTAGAAACCAACTTAAAATTGGCATGGGAAAAAATTCAAGAACCTAAGAAGATTGAACAAAAACTCTCTATTTTGCAGTCCAGTACGTTAAGACTACAGAGTCAATTAGCTGTTCACAACTTAATATTTGACCATATTTTGATATTACACAATTTTACCTCTGGAAGGGCAAAATTCATCCTAGATATTCAAAATGAAATTGGTTCTTTGCAAAGTATCTTTAGACAACTAATGGAGAAAAAGGAGAAGCGGCAAATTCTCATTGAAAAAGCTTACCAAAGACTAAACTGGGCAAAGGGTGCTAATCCAAATGTTGGTCAAATATCAGCAGCATTTGAAAGTGCCGTAAAAATCAGGGAAGATCAACTAAATCTGGAACAGAAAATAGCAACTAACATTTTATCGACCTATCCCGTATTATTGCAACACGAGTTACTCAGAACACCCTCTCTGGATTCCACAAAAGATTTTGATAAGCTGTTTCTGAATTGTTTTGATAAATGGCGCCAAACTTGTCAATTTATTGATTCTAAAACTGAGTCATTATTACCAGTTGAAGAAAGTATCTTAAATATGCTTACACCAGAATTGATTAAAGATCCTAAATGGCTACAAAAAATATCCGAGTATATAACGGATGAAATTACTGAAGCACAGAAAAAGTTACAGCTGAAAAGAGACACAAGTTTTACAGATAGTGATAAGATTATATCTCTAATGGATAACTTTAGAACACTTTACAATATTCATTGCAAATTTATGTCTGATGTAAAAGGTTTAATTAAAATAATGGTGAAAATAGACGACTATAGCCTTCCTACACAGAACTTTGTTCAGGCCTATCGTGAATATATCGAGCATTTTTCATTGCTATTTTCTCAATTTAAAAAAGAGATCAACAAAGTTGAGATCAAGGACGCATTAAGACATTTAGAGTATATCGAGGAACATACAGAACTTATATACAATGAATTACTAAGTTTAGAGAATGTGAAAAAGGGTCAGCTTTTCACTACCCAAAATTGCCCAAGTCCTAATAAGATGGTAACCCAGAAAGAAATCACAACAAAAGGACAACAGAGAAATGCATACGCGGTTAATGTATGGCGCAGAGTTAAAATGAAATTAGAAGGGAGAGATCCAGATCCTGGCAGAAAGTGCACTGCACAAGAACAGGTAAGGAGCTATAATATTTTTTTATTCATATTTGTATATATATCCATGAAGAGACATTGAAATCGACGGACCAATTGATTCATTTCTGACAAACGTTTTCCTGTTAGGAAATCAATCAACTTAATTTGTTTAAGGAGGTATATCAGGGTCCGAGGGAAATGAGAAGCGCAGGGGGAGTCCTATGTTTTTCTTATGGGGCTAAAGCCCGCTGCCAATTTGAAAAAATTAAATTCTTTTCAAATCATTTGCGATAAACATTATCTATATGTATAGCAAATAAATCTACTCATATGCACATAGCATACATATTGACGAATTAACAACATAAAAATATCATATTTAAGTAGTTTTAAATTATATTTAATGAACACATAAAGACTATGTAGATGTGGCAACAGCGCTAATAATTGACTAGTAGTTGTACACACTGCGAACCTACAGAACTCGGACATGGGAGATATCGCGCCTCAAATTCGGATAAAGATGTGTGTGAACTATGTACAATATAATTATTATATATAGCAAATACAGGGTGTCCGGCAACTCATTACAATAATTTTAGGAGGTGATAGAATACGTGATTTCAAGTCGATTAAAACAAACACACCTATATACCAAGTGTTACAATATTTGTGATAATTAATTTTTTAATATTTTTTTATTTAACCGTGCTTTTCTACAATTATTGAAGTGTAGAAGAAAAAGAAACCTTTTTATAACAAAACTTTCTATAACTTTTTTAATGGAAATAAATGGATTATTTAATTTATTTAACCAATGAAATCCAAAGTGGCTTCGTTACCTACCTAGAACTTCATAAACATGGTATTTCTTCTTTGTAAAAGCGAAAAGTCAAATTTAAACGTGGATTTTATTTAAACTTTTGTGTGTGTAGGCTTATTCAGATATTATTAAAAACTTACCTAAGCAATGCTCTTTCAGTTCTTAAGAAAAGTTTCTTGATAAACATTCAAAAAATTAGGGAAATTAATCTTAACACGTTTAAGTATGCAGGGAGCGCATTCGCCAAAATAGAGGACAGCTGTTTAGTATGTAATAAAAATGGTTTAAAATGCAGACATTTGCTAACAAGAACGCAACTCTTTACAAAATATCGAAGTTATTAAAATACCGAAGGATTTAAAAAGCTAAATATTTATTTCAATTGCTCAAATCTTAAAAGTTAATTCAAAGTGCAAAAAGGAAATATTTATGAGTACCTATTAATTTTACGATTATAAACATAATGAAAAAAAGTCTAATGTAGATAATAAGTACTGTAATTATCTTTCATTTTCAAAATGTGACCCTCTATTTCTAATACAGTGTCGTGCTCGTCTTCTCATCTCAGTTGTAGTAACTCCTAATAAAAGCTCTTGTTTCATTTGTGTAAATGCAGCGTTGATTTTTTCGATTAATTGTTCCCGAGTAAAAATTAGTACTGCATAGACTAATTCCTTTGCTCGTCCCCACACATAATAATCGAGGGGAGTTAAGTCAGGAGATCTCGCGGGCCATAAATTTGGTCCATTTCTCCCAATCCAACGATTGGGAAACTGTTCATCTAGAAACTCCCTTACGGTAATTCGACAATGTGCTGGGCAGCCATCATTTTGGAATATGATATTCTTTCTAACATTTAACGGAATCTCGTCTAAAATATCAGGAAGAGTTGTTCTTAAGAAATGCAAATAATTGTCTCCGTTTCAATGATCTGGTAAGTAATACGGTCCAATTAACGTTCTGCCTATAACAGCTGCCCAAACATTCACGCTAAATTTTCTTTGAAAATTGGTCTCTCGTTTTAAATGAGGATTTTCTCCAATGTTACTCCAATAATGGAGATTGTGAAAATTGGTAATTCCCTCTCTAGAAAATTTGGACTCATCACTCCATAATATGCTTTTTAAAAAAAGTATCTCTTCAATATCATCATTTAAGATAAAACGACAAAAATTCATTCTTCGCGCAGGATCACCTTCCTCTAAACCCTGCACGGGTGTATAATGAAATGGATATTTATTTTCGCTTCTTAATACTGACCAAACTTTCCATTTAGATAAATACAACTGGCGGGCGACTTGCCTTATACTTAATGTATGATCTTCTGCAATTGCGTCCAATATCTGTTCGTCAATTTCAGGGAAATGCCTGTGGTGTTCATCACGCGCTCCGGGTTCCTGACGATTGACACTTCCATGTTCACTTATTCGACGATATGTGTACATGAAGACTCGAATATTAGAAAGCCTTCTTTCAGGAAATCTGTCTTGGTAAAGTCTACGAGCAGCAGCAGCATTTCCATCAGCCCTTCCATACTTAAATAGAATATCGGCATACTCCGCATTTGAAAATGATGTCATTATCAAAGGTTTTTAATAAACGTCTAAGAATAGTACTTACACTTTAACTGAGATTCGAACGTATAGTTTGACAGTTAATCTACATTTACGGTTNCTTCCATACATAAATAGAATATCGGCATACTCCGCATTTGAAAATGATGTCATTATCAAAGGTTTTTAATAAACGTCTAAGAATAGTACTTACACTTTAACTGAGATTCGAACGTATAGTTTGACAGTTAATCTACATTTACGGTTGCTATGGAAACTAACAGCTCTTTCACACGGACGTTATTTTATTTTACACATAGTTAAATACGTCTTTACACATGAAGTCGTTGTCGGCAACGTTGACGGTCGGCTGCCGACGAAATTAAAATTTGGACGGCATGCACGCGGTCGCCGCTCGTTTTTTGAACGATCGGCAGGCTTCAATGTATAGTAGCTTATGCAGGTTTACACACGAAACAGGGATCACGCCGACCGCAGTCACAAATACAGGACCGGCAGCTACAGAGCCTGTTGCAGTAAATAAATCGTAGAGACATGGAAGTCGATTTAGAATATTTGATAATTCTCGTCCAAGAAAGAATTGTAATTTGGGACAAAACGTCCGATGATTTCAAAGATCGGACGAAAACGAACTCGGCTTGGGAAGAGATATTCAATATTTTAATAGAAAACTACGCAAGTCTGCCTAGTTCTGAAAAAAAGGAGAAAGGTAAGATCTAAATAATTGAAAATTTTATAAATATTTTTAAATTTTACTAAATTGCCACGGTACAGATCCTGCATCACTAACAAAATATGATGTAAAATGGTCTCGTACATGTTTAGCAGTTCTTGTAGCTCTTAAATTATGTTCTCACGAAACATCTGCGAAGCCGTCGACATGTAATGTGTCTTCAAAAAGGTAACCATCTCTTTCACGTACATAATTATGTAGCACACAACAAGCCTTCACAATTTCTTTGGCGAAGTCTGGACGAACATTAATTGGCCGATGAAAATCTCTCCATTTGTTGCTTAATATGCCAAAAGCACATTCAACATACCTTCTTGCACGACTTAAACGGTAATTGAAGATTCTTTGCTCAGGTGATAAATTATGCCCTCCAAAAGGTCGCATTAATCTATGTGATAATCCAAAACCCTCATCTCCTACAAAGACATGTTCTAGTGGAGGTCCATTAATTTGGGGTAGTGGTTTATCATCAGGCAGATCCAACGACTCATTTTCAAGAGCTTTATAGAACGTTGATTCCTTAAAAACCGATGAATCACATTCCTTACCGTATGCGCCAATATCCACATATATAAAACGATATTTTGTATCGACAACTGCCAATAACAATAAGGAAAAAAAGTGCTTGTAATTATAGTACAAAGAACCGCTGTGTTGTGGTTTCACAATTCTAATGTGTTTGCCATCGATGGCTCCAACGCAATTAGGAAAATTAGCTGTCTGCTCAAATCCCGCCGCACATTCTTTCCAAATTTTTTCAGTCGGTGCTGGCATATATTCTTCCACCAGCACTTGCCATATTTTTTGGCAAACGTTTCTCACAAATGTGGATATTGTAGATATTCCCAATCTATAGCTGTAGTGCAGATCGGTAAACGTGGCTCCGCTCGCCAAAAACCTAAAAATTAAATTATGTTTCACGTAACGCAATAATAAAAATATGGAAACATGTACGTGATAATTACGTTAAAAGTTATAAGAAGGCGAAAACACTAAAATCAGGCAGTGCCGCTAGCACCGCCAGAAAATATTTATATTATAATCAATTAGACTTTTTACGAAAATGCTACGATCATAATGAAACTGTTTCAAATTTATCGTATTCAGAGATCGTTTCACAAGCAACAGCAACAGAAGAGAATGAAGACGGTCAAGACTTGCAGCTTTCTGACTGTACAGAAATCTTTTCTCCTGTTTCGTCCCCCTTGACACCTGTCACCCCGTCTACATCATCATCAATTTCAGTCGCAGTATCAAGACAACCGGCAAAAAAGGCGAAACCCAATGCGTTTGAAAAAAAACTTTTAGAGATGTTAGATGCAAAAGAAAAGACGGATGACGATAGTTCCTTCTTGAAGTCACTTTTGCCATACCTCCACAAGTTTGACAGTGAACAAAAGTTAGAATTTCGCTTAGAAGTCATGCAACTGATTAAAAGAATTCAGGGAAGACAGTACGCTAGTATGGAATTTACGCAATCGTATGGACGTCCACATGTCCAATACAATTCAAAAATTACTCCAACGCAATCGTTAGTCGCTCCCCCCACAAGTGCAAGCTCACAATCAAATAAGTGGCATGGATATAATTCCCAAAGTGCAAATGAAGAGCATAATATTCAGCAATATGCGCACAATGGAAGGATTTCAACTTTCTCTACAGATCCTTATTTACCTAGAGGTTCTCAGGAAGATTAGAAGCTTTTTCTATATGTCANAACGCTGCATTTACACAAATGAAACAAGAGATTTTATTAGGAGTTACTACAACTGAGATGAGAAGACGAGCACGGCACTGTATTAGAAATAGAGGGTCACATTTTGAAAATGAAAGATAATTACAGTACTTATTATCTACATTAGACTTTTTTTCATTATGTTTATAATCGTAAAATTAATAGGTACTCATAA